TCACTCTGACACCCCAGGCAGCAAAGATGAAGGAAGGAACAAAGGAAACCAGGTTCAGGAAAGGGCCACCGGACACTATGGCATACACTATACTAGCCAGACATTTTCACATGTCCATGCCTAGCTTCAAGGCAGACTGGAAAGTCTAGTGTAGTGTTTATTTTGAAGGCCCTGTAGCTTAAAAATCAGGGGTTCTGCTATTGATTTTTTTTAAAGGGAGAATGGATAATATAGTATCTAGTTTGGGGAATTTCAAATTACTATACACAGAAGTTAGGAGAACTCTAAAATAAAATAAAGGCAGTCTGTAGAAGGAGTGAGTGTGCTGAAGAATGTTGATGTGAAGGAAGTTCCCTAAAGAAAGATTACGTAATTGAGACGGAGATCCGGAAGTGGCTGGGTGCCTTCCCTGTGTCTGCTGCCCTGTCTTTGGAGCAGTCTACACTGAGACTCAAGGGCAAGAGGAAGGAAAGTAAACAGATCTAAAGAAAGCTCATGAATCTCTCTGTAAGTGAAATTGTGGGGACAAATTGAGAGACAGAGCTGCGGGACTCGAAGACACTAGTGTTGAAGCCAGGGAGACCTGGCTTTGCTGAAAGCACAATATTTCAACTTAGTGCAACTAAACACTCTTTGAGGGGATTTAGAGGAATGGTAAGAGAAAGGAAAAATGGAGGTATTTCATTTTTGTTTCTGTGTTTTTTATTTGTACTTAAGAAATCATGATCAGATGTCTGTGGATTTTGGCATATACTTTTCTAAAACTGTAAAAGTTAGAAAGTGAAACTTAAACAAAGCCACAAATGTCACTTTTAAATTTCTATTGACAGTAGAAGAGAATATTATTTAAACTGTTTCCTAAACTATTACAACATATATCATTGCATAACATTTTTCTTTTTTTAGTTTTACTCAACACCCACTCCTTGCTTGATAGTATATTTTAGGGTGAATAGTACACCACTCAAGTTGGCTAGCCCTTCAGATTTCGAATAGTGTTTTCTTTTTAAAAACATTTTTGTGGGAAACTGATTTATAAGTGACTATACTGTGAACTAAGCCTTATTAATAGCATGGTTTAACAGCTTAAGATAATTAATTCAAATAATATTACTGACAGCCTTTGAAATGGAAGTCACACTTTTAAAAAACACTGAAATGTATGTGTCTCACCCACCAACCTACTTCAATATTCTGAGGAAAAATATTATTTCATGTCCTTACACTGGTTTTCTGTCTTTTTTGTTTTTGCTTATTCATTTTTTAAAAAAGATTTTATTTATTTACTTTTAGAGGGGAAGGGAGGGAGAAAGAGAGAAACATCAATGTGTGGTCGCCTCTCTCATGCCCCCTACTGGGGACCTGGCTGGCAACCCAGGCATGTGCCTGGACCGGGAATAGAACCAGCGACCCTTTGGTTCACAGGCCTGTGCTCAATCCACTGAGTCAGCAAAGGCCTTACATTGGTTTTATATATTAACAGAGGACTCTATGACACTTGAATATTGATATACTATCTTAACTAAAGCAGTCACAAAAGTAAAAGCCATTGGCCCCTGGCCTTTCAGAGATGTCCCCTCTAAGTTCATGTGTATGTGAAGAAAATAGCAAATTAATTTGTAAGTATTAAGCATTTAAGAAATATTTTGTTAAAAAAAGAAAAGAAATATTTTGTTTATTTGTCAATTGGTTTATTTATCAACTATAGCTACATAAGAGGAAGTGAGTTAATTTTGAAACCCACAGTTTCCTTTCCTGTGCACCAATAGCCATTGGTGGCCACTAGCATGTACTTCCCTTTGCAGGAAGTTGCAAAACTGAGAGAGAAAGAAACCAAATCAAGTTGGCATTATATTTAGATCTCCTCTGATTTGGATGCAGCTACAGTTCTCACTTTTTCTCATGGCAACTGTCATAACTATTCAAAGGAAGAAAATGAGGCAAAGGGGAGGAGCAGGGAATTGTGCCAAAGGACAATGGCAGAAAGTTGAACTACAGGGATCCAGGTAGCTTGAGAGCTTATTGGCTCTGCTCTGTGCTCCAAGGCAGGAGGGGCTCCTGCCACAGCGCAAAAACTTGTGTTGCCTAAATCAGGTCTCTCCAAAGCCAGGTATCAGTGCCCTTGGTGAAACAGTTTAAGCTTTCAGCTTCACAACTTCCTCCAAATGTTTAGTATAGTGGTACACACAACCTAAGGGTGATTTTTACTTTTAATTTTTTTTTACATTTTTAATAGGTTGAAAATAATTGAAACAGTAATATTTCATTATGTACAAAATTATATGAAATTTTCTTATTATATAAAATTAAAATTTCAGTTTGTGACAATTTATTTTCTCTCTTATTGTATAACTACTTACATTACATCCTTGAATTTGTCTATTGACCTGTAAAGGCTAAAATATTTACTACCCGACCCTTTACAGAAAAAGTTTGCAGATTTCTGGTTTAGAAGAGCATGGAATTTAGTATCTGGCAGACCTGGATTGATCTCCAGGGCTGATTGTATGACCTTGAGCAAGTTCTTTGTTGCAATGGTAAATGATTTAAGCCTCAGTTTCTTTGTCTTTAAAATGGGTATACAAATAATATGTTGCAGAGTTAAATGAGGTAATGTATTTCACATGCTTAACACAATGGCTATCAGGTGGTAAGGGATCCCCACATTATTATTGTTGTTGTTGTCTTACCATAAAGCAGCTGAAACTAAACAAAATTGCAAAACTAAGGAAATTTTAAAGTTCTTTAGAAATTATAATAGATTCTATACTATTATACGTAGGAAATTTAAAAACTTATTTTAAAAGGTATTTTTGATTAAATAAGGACAACAAAAGCTCCCTCAAAATAGAGTGATAAAATTGGTAAGTCCTGTGTTTGGAAGTAAAAACAGTCATACCTAGACCACAGGTAAAGCGGATATTGCAAACCATGTATATGAATAATTATGACCCCCGCCTCTTCAAACACATGCTTGCTGAATTCTGTCCAATTACTAGAATCAGCAAAGAAAATGGCAGAACTCCACAAAATTCATAGATAGATAACTTGAGGAAGAGTATTATGGAAAAAGATAAAAGGAAGGATTTTATTAAGCTCATGCTTATACTCATGCTTAGGTATGGCTCAGTTAGGGGAAATCACCACAAATAGGTTCTAACTCCACTCTGCTCAGAAGTCAGGCCTTAAAACTTCTGGGGGCAGGACCTGAGGCAGTGCTTCTCTTCATATTCACACTGGCAACACCGCATCTTGATACAGAGATAGGCCTTCACCTTTTTTTCAATAGCAGCTTTATTGGGATAACTTTCATAGACCATATTATACACCCACTTAAGGTGTACAATTCAGTTGTTTTTGGTATATCCAGGGTTGTGTTACCATCACAATCAATTTTAGTACATATTCATAACCTTCAAAATGTACCTGTTAGTAGTCTCTCTCCTCAGTCCCCCAGTCCCTAGTAACAACTAATCTATTTTCTACAGTATTTCTATAGATTTACCTATTCTGGACATTTTATATAAATGGAATTATACAATATATGGTATTGTGTGAATGAGTTATTTCACTCAGAATAATGCTTTCAAGTTTCATTCATCTTGTTACAGACATCAGTACAATATTCATGTTAATTGTGAAATAATGTTCCATTGCATGGATATACCAATTTCATTTATCCATACATCACGTGATGGACAATTGGGATGACTTTACATTTTTTTTGACAGGTTTAATGAGATTTAAAGAAAGAAGATTTGAAGCAATTCAAAATGGTGTCTCTTTCTTAAATATAAGTATACACGTGTATTCTTTGGATGCATTTAATTTTTGACTAGGTAAAACTTTTTGCTCTGACTGAGGCTATATACTGTTACAGCAATACTTGCTGATCACCTTGAGTGAGCCAATCTTATGGGGCACAGGTTCCTTTTGTTGAGAGAGAAGATGTTAATAGAACATTCAGCCAGAACCATGTAAGAGAATCTTCAAGAATGTAGATACTCCTGAGAAATATGTAAGAGAAGGTGGTCAGGGCTGTAATAGTTTCTGTTCAGGCAGCCATACAGTGCTGAAGGACCACTTAGTGCTGTTTATAGTGCAAAACCTGGAAACAACTGACAGGAAATGGAGAAGTAAATTGCTGTACAGTTACATAGTGCTGTAGAATATAATACGATGGTGGAGTTGAAAAATATGGATAACCCCAGAAATTTATATTTTGTATAACACTCTTTTCACAAATTTTAAAGACAAACAAAATTAACATATTGTCTAAGCATATATATTTGTGATAAAGCTAAATAGAAAATAGGGAATAATGAATCAGAGGAATTAATTATAAGTATACATAAATAAAAAGGAGAGCTATCCATGGAATAATGTTGAAAGAGTGTCATAAACGAAAGAATATAATAAATGAACTCAGGTTACCGAAGGTTCAAACAAATAGTGACAAAGAACAATAAATCAAAGTAATGCATGTACATTGCAAAATTTGGGTATACATAAAACATACGTAATTATATTAAATTACATGCAATTATATTAAAGAAACTTTTCCCTGGTTATTCCTTCAGGTAGAAAAACTACAATTAACACTGTGGTGTTATAGTCTCCCATTTTTTCTCCTATGAATCAAAGAAAAAATTAATAACACTAAAAAGTGTGAAGTTGTTAAAAGTCTGTTCCCTGTGGGAACTGTTTAGGTCACGCTACCCACTCCACGTTTCAACCAATCTGGCCTCAGCTACAGCATCAGCCACCAAGTAAGAAGGCTGAGGACTCCCGCAGCGACAGGTTCAGAGCAGAGCCGATCTCTGATCTTAACTCCGCCCCACCGCTCTCAGGTTCAGAGAACACGCCCAGGGGCGTGCCCAACAGGGGAGGCGGGCCTCAGTCCCAGCTCAGGTAAAACAGGGGCGGGATTCGGAGGAGCCCAGCGTCGCGGCGTGATGACGTTGCGCCGCGCCTTACGTAGCGTGCTCGGAGTGCGCAGCTGCTGTTTGGTGTATTAGTCTCAGCTTTTGAGCTGCGGGAGAGGTGTGCGTGCAGATGGTCGGCATGTCACAGGCTGTTGGCGCTGTGGACGAGGGAGAGGAGCAGGCGGAGGAGGATTGTCCTGAATTGGTCCCCATTGAAACGAAGCAGAGAGAGGAGGAGGAAAAGTCTGGCCCCGGCGTTAAGATCCCAGTCACAATTATCACCGGGTATTTAGGTAACTGACCATCCCGGTCTGACAATGCTGTAAACGCTAGTTATCCTGGGATTTTGGGGGGCTGACGGTGCCTCGCCTCCTGAGGCATCCGGGCCTCTGGCCATTAGCAAATGTCTCTGAGGTACGGGCTGGGCCACTTGCTTCCTATATGGATTGCTTCTTATCTATAGGGTAAATGATGCTTTGAACCCCTGTGCATTAAGATTCACTTTTAGCAAGTGAGATTAAAAGCCAACCTCGCATTTTTAAACTAGTTCTGGTTTTGTGGTCTGAAGCCCGGGCCCATCCCCAAACTATGCATGTGACCTTCAGCAAATTCTCTTACCTTCTGAAGATTATCTACCTCACTTGGGAATCTAAACAATACTGGTCACCTGTCTGAGCTTCTCTGCAAAATGAGGCCGGAAATATCTACCTTATAAGCCTATTATCTTTAGAGGGTGCCGTGTCAGTAAACGGCCAGATACAGGGAGGGGCATTCCTCAGTCAATTTTCCTTCCCCACAAGCCATTCTCTTCCAGGAATTCCTGGAAAGACCACCTATCAGACTTTTTTAGGTCTGTTAGTAAAGCATTGTAGGAGAAAGTAACAAAATCTCTGCTCTCCAAGACTATGTCTTTTTTGCTTTTTAACTTTTTATCTTTCAGTTACAGTTGACAGTACAGTGTTAAAATATGTTTCAGGTGTACACCCTCATGATTAAACATTATATAACTTACTAAGTAATCATCCTGGTAAATCTTATACCCATCTGACACCATACCTACTTTTTAGAATATTATTGACTATATTCCCTATGCTCCATTTTACATCCCTGAATGTATTCTGTAACCACCCATTTGTACTTTTTAATCCCTTCACCTTAATCCCTTTCACCTAGCCCACCAACACCCCTCCCATTTGGCAACCTGCAAAATGTTCTCTGTATCTATGAATGTTTCTGTTTGTTAATTTTGTTTTTGAGATTGAGTTGTTGATAGATATGTATTTATTGCTATTCAATTTGCCTTGAAGAAGACCTATTAACATTTCATGTAACACTGGTTTGGAGCTGATGAACTTCTTTAGCTTTTCCTTGTCTGGGAAGCTCTTTCTCTGTCCTTTGATTTTCAATAATAGCATTGCTGGATAGAGTAATCTAGGTTGTAGGTCCCTGCTTTTTGTCAGCTTGAATACTTCTTGCCAATCCCTTCTGGCCTTCAACACTTTTGTTGAGAAATCAGCTGATGGCCTTATGGGAGCCCCCTTGTAGGTAACTGAATCTTGATGTTTTTAAGATTTTCTCTTTGTCTTTAACCTTTTGCATTTTTAAAAAATCCTCACCCAAGGATATGTTTTATTGATTTTAGAGAGAGAGAGAGAAAGGGAGAGAGAGAGAAAGAAACATCAATGTGAGGGAAAGACATCAATTGGTTGCCTCCTATACATGCCCCACCTGAGGACTGAACCTGCAACCTAGGCATGTGCACTGAATGGGATCAAACCTTCAACCTTTTGGTGTACAGGAGGATGCTCCAACCAACTGAGCCATCTGGGCAGAGCTAACCTTTGCATTTTAATGTTGATGTGTCTTGGTTTTGGCCTCTTTGGTTTCATCTTGTTTGGGACTCTGTGTGCTTCCTGGACTTGTATGTCTATTTCCTTAAACATGTTAGAGAAGTTTTCCATCATTTTTTTTATGTAGGCTTTCAGTCCCATGCTCACTCTCTTCTCCTGTCATCCTGTGATTCAAATGTTGATATGCTTGAAGTTGTCCCAGAGGCTCCTTATACTACCCTTGTTTTTTCAGATTCTTCCTTTTACTGTTCTGATTGGGTGTTTTTTGGCTTCCTTATATTCCAAATCACTGATTTGCATCTTGGCTTCATCTACTCTACTATTGATTCCCTGTAAATTACTCATTTCAGTCAGTGTATCCTTCATTATGACCGGTTATTTTTTATGGTTTCCATGTCATTTTTTATGCTGTTGGTGTTCTAAGTACATAGAGCATCCTTATAACCAGTGTTTTGAACTCTGCAACTAGTAGATTGCTTGTCTCTGTTTTATTTAGTTCTTTTTCTGGAGTTTTGGTCTGTTCTTTTACTTGGGCCATGTTTCTTTACTCATTTTGGCAGCCTCCCTGTGTTTGTTTCTGTGTAGTAGGTAGAGCTGCTCTGTCTCTCAGGCTTGGTAGAGTGGCCTAATGTAGGTGTCCTGTAGGGTTTAATGGCATATCACCCCATCACCCAAGCTGGGCACTCTAGATACAGCACCCTTTGTGGGCTGTGTACATCCTCCTCTTATATTTGAGCCTTGATTGCTATTGGCATATTGGCATATTGATGGGAGAGATTTACCCCCAGGCTGATCGGCCACAAGGACTGGCTATGACCACTTTGGAAGATCAGCTGTGTAGGGGCCAACCTCATGGAGTAGACTTACTTCAGTGGGGCTCTGGAGCCCACTGAGTCCACCCCTTGAGTATGTCACTTGTGAAGATGATTGGGTGGTCCTCCACTGTGGTCTGAAGCTGTCTACCAGGTATGCTGGCTCTGGGGCTTCCCACAAGGTGCAGGCCAAGGTCAGCCACCACCTGTGTTCTACCTTGGGGCTACCCAGCATGAGGTACAAAGCAACCTTAGTATATGGTTTCTGCTTTTGCTGGGCTTAGATGTGCCCAGGAGAGGCCAAGCTGTGAACCAGAGCTGACTGCCACTAGTGCTAGGCCTGGGACTATTTATTGAATGCTATGGGGTATGCTGAGGCCAGATGGTACTTATTTGAGAGGTTTTAGATAAGTCTGAAGCATGAACCAAGACTGGCCATTTGTATGGAAAAGCCACTGGAAACAGCTTGGATTGGCCCACAAGTTGGGTGGCCAGGATCTCTGGGAGTCACCAGGGCCAGGCAGACTCAGATATGGCACCTGCCTGTTGGCTCTGTGGCTCTGTGTGGGGAGGGCTCAGAAAAGGAGCAGTGGCCTCTGCCAGCACTTCTCACTGGGAGAAAGCTGCCCCTCCAGCTTTTGCCTTGATGCTGGACAGTTCAGTTCCTCCTCATATGTCTCTGGTGCCTTTTGAGCTGCTTGTTACCTCTCTGTTGGAGCTGAGAGGGAGTGAGTCTAAATAAGTCCATGTGTGGGCCCTTTAAGAATGCCTGGGACTCCAGAGCACACCATCTTCCTCAGCCGGGAAAGTTAAGAAATATAAACAAAGTGAAAGAATTTGGGGAATACCATTCCTAGATGTTGCTAGAGACAGGTACAAATTTGGTGCACCTGAGGACCTTTTACATAAAAAAAAGAAGTAAATCACTGGTGTTTCCCTTTTTGTTTTGTAAACTGTAAGTTTATTCCTATTTTTAGTCAGGACTAATTTTGTAGTTTAATTTATTTTTTGTATTTTTCCACTGTTATTCAAGGACCGTCCTGAGAAATGGAGCAAATTCCTTGTCCAAAATAGTATAGCTCAGACTTGCCCCTCGGGCCTTCCTCATTGGAGATAATGGTCTGAAGCCCAGGAGTGAGGCTCATGCAAGCAACCTTGTTGCTGAATCTAGGGCATAGTTTCACTGTTTATTATTGATCATCATTTTCTCTTTCTTGAAACATTGTTTCTTCAGCTTCCATCACATTTTTTCTTTGATTTTTCCACCTGCTTCTCTAGTTTCTTTTAAATTTCTCCATCTCTGTCCATTTTTTTAACTTCACACTCAGATAGTTTCTATTTTGATGTCCCACAGACATCTCAAACTTCACATGTCCAAAACTTCCTGTTATCATCCCCACAAATCCTACTGCTCCTATGATCCTAATCACTTGGAATACTTTAAAAGCTTCCTAACTACTCTTGAGTCATGATGCCCTTTAATGTATTCTGTGTATTTTAGCCTTAATGATCTTTATTAATGTCAACCTGATTGTGTCACACCCTTTTGTGGTTTCCATTTGGATTAAAGTTCAAATTCCTTAACATGAATTACAAGGTTCTGTATAATCTGGCTCTTGACAACCCCCCTGCCTGCAAAACTGGCCCATCAACATTGCACTACTTTTACTTCTAAAAGGTGCCAGGAATTTTAGCTTTTGTATACTTCTTATTCTTACTCCTCTGGCTAGATGTCCTCTGGGGTGTTCCATAACATCTTGGACATCTATTAAATGTGTCATCCTGCGACATGATTGCTTGTATTGATCTGCATTTCCCTCTGTAATCCCGCATAATACTCTTAAGCTGCATGAAGGTAGAGACAGTTTGTCTCTGTCTTGTGCACTTTTTACCCAGGCCCAACATAAAATCTGGTCAGTAGTAGACTTTTGAATGAACTGTATCTTAAAGCCTTTTCCCTCATTGTATGATTAATTATTAAGCCCTAGTAATTTTGTTAGAAGGTCTCTTATGTCCTTCTCTTTCCATTTCCACTGCTGCTGCCTAGTGCCATGTTCCCCTTCCAGGCCTCTGTCTTACACTTGGGCTGGCTTTAAGAATTTCTTCGTGGTTCTGCCTCCTGAAGGTCTGTCCCTTTTATTCTGTACTTCACACTTTAGTGATGTGGGGCTTCCTACACAGAGAACTCTGTAAACACAAGCCTTCAACAGCTTTTAAAGGAATATGACCTAAAAATGGTGAAGATATTAATACCCTAATGCTCAGTAAATCCCTCTTAGTCATATCCTTGTGTGCAAGTGTTTGTAATAGCAAAACACCAGAAACAACCCAAACGTTTACCAACAGGAAAGTAGATAAATAAATTATATATTTATACAATTAAACTACACTACTGTGCAATTGGGATTGGGGGCTTTTCTTTTTTCTCTATGAACTTTGGTGTCTTTGGACCACAAGACATGTTTTTCTTCTACTTCAGCTGAACATACTAGGTTTAATGTGCCACCTACTGGATAAAGTTAGTGTAGCTTTATGAGTTTATCTTTCTAAAGACTGAATATTCTGTCTTTTGTTATTTCCTACATCCATTCTTTATTTTGTGTGTGTATGTGATACATATATATATATATATAATCAATTTTATAGGTTGTTTGAAGCATACTAAAAGTAGACATATAGTAAGTTTGAATTTATGTCTGATTAATAATGGATGTTGAAATAAAAGGTGTTTATATGTAAATTTTAGGGAATTAAAGCATATATTCTTGGCTAAGAAACATTGTCATGCAAAAGGATTTAAATGTTTTATATTTTATACACTGTATGAGTACTTTATTCCTTGAAGGCATTACTTCAATATTTTTTATTTAATAGGAAATGTAGATACCTTTATATTAATTGTATTATAAGTTACGCTGAAGGCATATTTTTGTCATGAGGTTGAAGAAAACTTTGTGATCCAACTTGTAGGAGTATTTGTAAATGTTTATAAATGTTATGTCAACAAAATATTTTTAAACTTTTCAAAGGATACTTTAATCTTCCTCTAGAATAATCTTAGTTAAGTTGAAAAATAACATGCAAATTTTTTTAAAAATTGGGACTCTATTTCTTTTTTTAAATTGATTTGAGAGAGAGAGAGAGAGACATTCATTTGTTGTTCCTGTAATTGGTTAATTCTTGTATGTGCCCTGATCAGGGATCAAACCTCCAATCTTGGTATTTGGGACAGCACTCTAACCAACTAAGTTACCTGGCCAGGGCTCTTTTTTTTGTGTCTTTAAAATCAGTCTTTAGCTCTGGCTGGTGTGGTTCAGTGGATTGAGCCCCAGCCTGTGAACCAAAGGGTCGCTGGGTTGATTCCCAGTCAGGGCATATGCCTAGGTTGCAGGCCAGGTCCCTGGTGAGGGATGTGCGAGGGGCAACCACACATTGTTGTTTCTCTGTCTCTTCCCCTCTCTCTAAAAATAAGTAAATGAAATATTTTTAAAAATCAGTCTTTAAATTTTGTTATTTAAAAAATATGTATTTTATAGGTGCTGGAAAGACAACACTTCTGAACTATATTTTGACAGAGCAACATAGTAAAAGAGTAGCGGTTATTTTAAACGAATTTGGGGAAGGTAAGTAAAGTGCAATAAATGCCATGCAAGAATTTATAGGATAATTTGTTCCACTAGTGACTTGATATTCCATAATGGCAGTGCAAGGCATTATAATGTAAACACATTGACATGGATTGTTTTGGAATAATTAGATTAATTTCTGTCAAGCTTTATTTTGGAAAGAGTTTGAATACCTAAATTAGATAGTTTCTATAAAATTTTATTTTGTTTAACTTTTGAATTCATACCAATGGGATTAAATTATAGATTTTTACATGAATAACTCCCGAAGTGAAAGTCTGTGGTATATGAAAAAAGGTGCATTTGTCCTGACTATATTGTTTAATTGCAACTTTTGAAAAATTTGAAAATGCTTCAGTTATTATAAGTTTACCTTGTTGAATGTTTATTATCTGCAAAGCAATTAAAACTGAAGTTTTAAAAATAAGTTGAACATATGGTCTCCGTCCTCAAGAAAATTCAGTTACCTGTGAAAATACATGCATTAAACGTTCTATTTTTTTGTCTTTAATATTGAACTGTAATTTTTAAAAATCTATACAGCAGTGTTAGACACAGTTCTTTGATTATTTTTATGTTTTTCTTAATAAGTGTGAATTTTAATAAACGCTTGCTTTTAGCCCAAGATTATAACTTCTATGGGCTATTTCTTAAGGTATGCCATTTTTTTCTGTTGTAAATTAGTAATTAGTAAAGGAGCTTGTTTTTATGAATAGGTTGGAAGGTATGTTAGTTAAATATGATTTCTGGTTTCCGTAAACTAAAAAGTCCTGTTAGACAAAATAAAAACCCTAGGATTTTAAGTCACAGTCTTTTATTCTAGCTTCTTATTAACTGCTCATCTTTTGAACACTGATTGCATTTATTACTTGTTACTATTTTTCTTCGTTCTTTCTGGATCATTTTTGCAGTTTGTCCTTTACAGCATTCACAATACTTTCCTTCACGTTATATTGATATTCTCTACACCCTCAATTCTGTAGCAACTTCTTTCAGAGCTTTGTCATGGCTAGCTGAAATATAAACAAAAAATGTAAATGAAGAAAATATTTTCTTTTGGCCTTTTTTTTTATTGGAGGAAAATAAGACATTTAAAATCATTTTTATATGATAACCAGCATATCAGAATCTTAAATATATTTTTTTCTCAAGGAAGCATTGCTGCGAAATGTGTATTTGGGTAAAATTTAATTTTTAAGTGAGCTACTGATAGCATGGCTAAGCAAACTTGCTCAGATGACTTGGGTTGTTACTCATATTGAGAGTACTGAGTAGGCTGTCTAATAGAAATAAAAACAATTTAAAAGGAGAATGAAAAGAAAAATATAAATATGGACCTTAAGAGGTGGAAGGGCATATGAAAACTAATGTGTGAAACATACTGTCTGAAATGTTGGTCACAGACAAGAAAGAGTGCCTTTGGAGTAGCTGCCTTATTAGGAAATGGGAGTGGGCAAGGAGGAGGCCTGACAAGGAAGTATGATATGATTCATGATATGATTCATTAATTGTGGGTTTGCCTCTTTAGGTGCTTAAATCCTCTTTAAGAAATTAAAGCTAAAATAAGCTAGAGTGGCATAGTTTAACATGTTGAAGCTGCATGAATAGAATGAAAGAATACAAGTTATGCATTTTCTGCTTTGAAATCTCCATCTTTGAGTGTTTTCACACACACATATACTGGTTCGCTAGTGAACTTAATCTAAAGAGCGCTGCTTCTTCTTTCAGGAAGTGCAGTGGAGAAATCCTTAGCTGTGAGCCAGGGTGGAGAGCTCTACGAAGAATGGCTGGAACTCAGAAACGGCTGCCTCTGCTGTTCAGTAAAGTGAGGAATGTGTTTACTGTGTGCTTGTTGGTTTACTATTAATGCTTACTGATGATATTTCCAGCTTTGGTTTTCTTGTGTAATTTTACTGAATTTACATAGGCTGCTTTATTGTATTTTCAAACAGAATATAGACTTATTGGGATGCATTTTCTTAAATTGTTTCTTGCTATCTTATTTTTCTGTATGCTGTAGTAAATACTTGGGTCCTTTTTATTGAGTTTTTAAATTGCTTTTGAGGTCAAGGTTTATTTAATCTCTGTGGTTCATGAAAGTCTCATTTTATCTGTAAGAAATGGTTCTGAGTTTAATAAGTCATTGCTCTTAGTTCCAAGACTTCAACCCCTAAAAACAAAAATAACTATCAAAAAACAGAAAATGTTCCACCAATTATCGTTCTTTCCAAGAACTGTCTGTTTTATTCACTAATATAGTACAAATCTTAGAAAAAGATCTGACACATAGCAGTCACTCGAATGGGTGTTTGTTGAACGAATTAGGAAAATTAACATCTGTGCTGTGGATTTTCTAAGTTGTAGTTAATTAAATTTCTTCTACATCATTTACCAACTTAGAGGTTTGACTTTGAGTCAAATGCATTAAAAGGCTAAAATCATAACATTTTCTTAAACAACCAAAATGCAATCTCTTAATTTTCTTGCACTTTTTATAAGAAAAAATAGAAATTAAAAACTGGTACTCTAATTCAGAACAGCATTAAATTGTGTTTAATAGTAGTATCCTTTTAGCTGTTATAGTAAACTACTATAATTCACAAATTTTATCATTATTTTGGATGTTGATTTTTTTCTTTCAAAACATATAAAAATAATAGATTCTGACTTTATGGTCAGGTGTATTAAAATTTCCTCTGCTTTTAATTTTACTAAAATTAAAGCATTATGTATCTGATTTCTATTTATCTATCAGTGTATGTGCATCTGTTTTTCCCCTCGTAGGTAAATACTGGGTGGACATTTTGTTTTTGAACAACAAAGCTTGGGAGTGAGTTAAATTTTCACATGCCTAAAGATATTTTTGTCTCAAGTTGCTGAATATATTTTTGAATGTTTGTAATGATTGCTTCAAGATTTTCAGGCAATCAGTCAACTCTATATTATATTTTGATATTCTCCAGGGATAATGGCCTTAGAGCTATTGAGAATTTGATGCAGAAGAAGGGAAAATTTGACTACATATTGTTAGAGACCACAGGGTTAGCCGATCCTGGTAAGAAACGATATTATTATTAAAAACCACAATATAGTTCTTAAACATTTTCAAATAAATGTGCTAGAGTAATATCTAAAAATAAGTATTGCCCTGGCCAGGTTGCTTAGTTGGTTGGAGCATCATGCTGTTCACCAAAGGGTTACAGGTTCAATTCCTGGTCAGGGCACATATATAGGTTGCAAATTGAATCCCTGGTTGGGGTGTGTGCAGGAGGCAACTGGTCTATGTGTCTCTCTTTGTCTCTCTGTTTTTCTCTTTCTCTTTCTAAACTCAATAAGAAAACATATCCTCATGTGAGGATTTAAAAAAAATGAGTATTACAGCTTTACTCTAGATTTAAAAATATTTCTTTTTTAAAGAAGAAAAATACTGGGTTGTTGTGTTTTTCAGCAGATGAAAATCATGATCAAAGTACTTTAACCTGATAATAGAATTTGAAGTTCTGTTGATTGACTTAGGATTTTGGTTGAAACAAAAATTGGTTTAAAATATGAAAATTTAGGAAAAATTGAGACATTTCACTTTTAAGTTTATATTTGATTGGTTATACCCTACAGAGATCTTATTTCTGATTACTTTCTAATCCAGTTTTCTTAGAGGGTCATTTAGAGATATTTAAGGGCTTTTGGATTCTAATTCTAACAATACTTATTCCTTTAAATTATTGTTAACTTTCTGTTTTTCTACTACTAAACTAAAAATAATTTTTTTAATAAATGCTGTTATAAGGTATAGAGTTAAATCAGGCCTACTGAGCCTTTTTCCTGGTGTAGAATGAATAATAATTACTCATGAGATTTTTTGTGTCTGAATGGAATTACATGTGAACTTGCCTGTTCAAAGCTATAGAAAGTCAACCTGTTTCTGACAGTGGGTTTCTGATTCCTTCTTACCCAAATAATTTTTAGGAAGCATTTTTATTCCTAGTTTGTAGAGTATTTAGCGTTTGTTTTGTAAGTCTGAACCATGTTAGTATATTACTGAAGGTTCAAATGTAATCAGTGGTTATTATGCTTAGAAGTGTTACATAATAACATTGTTCTCATGTTTTCAAACTAGTATTGAATTAGGCTATTTTGATCCTTACTGTAGGCATGGATTTTTCATACATTTCATATATTTCCAGTAGGTTTGACTGATTATACAACCTGAACTATTACATTGGTATTAAATATTAAATTAAATCTGGTAAGATGGGAAAACATATAATATGCCTCTTTTTGAAATAGCAAATATCATGTTTTTTTTCATTGTAACACTAAAAAAACTCTTGTAACTCCTTTTTGAGAATGAGTTTTCTAAACATGGTTCAGCTTTTCTGAGCAAGAAAGAAAAGTTAAAGATCTGAGATAAAGCTTTTGTAAGAATTGTAGATATAAAGGAGCTAATGTATTTTGCTTTTAACTTTTAGAATACTTTTTATTATTTGGCTAAAAAATAAACATTTGCTATTTTAACAAATTAAAGAATACCTAAGAAAATATGCAGAAGTTTAAAACAAAATCACCCTGTATCTCGGTACCTTGAGATACAAGTAGGTGATTTTCATTCTCAGGATTTCTCTCTGCCAATGCTGTTCATTGTGGTATGTGGTATTGACCTCAGTTGGGAGCTTGTGAAAAGCGCAGATTCTTTTTTTTTTTTAAATCCTTACCTGAGGATATGTTTATTGATTTTTAGGGAGAGAGAATATGAGAATGAAACATCAGTGTGATAAACATTGATTAGTTGCCTCCCATCTGTGCCCTGACTGCAGATGGAACCTTTTGGTGTACAAGAGGACGCTCCAACCAACTGAGCCACCCAGACAGGGCAAAAGTGCAGATTCTTGAGCCCCTTCACAGATCTAGTGAATGAGAATCTCTAAGGGTGGGGCCCAGCAACCGGTTTTAATAAGCCCTACAGGTGATTCTCCTAAATCAGCCATGTGTGTGCCACAAAAATTTTTAAAACATGCAATACCTATTTAGTTTGGGGCAGTGACCTCTTTTCCCTTAGATTGTCAAATTAAAAAAAAAATGTATATGACAACAGTCAACACAACAATAGGCACGCGTTGCGAATTAATCAAAATTATACCTATTTGTCAGATTGGCAAAAAATACATTTTTTTGGTGTGCTGCAGAATTTTAGTAATTAGTTTATGTGTGCCAGGAGATGGAAAAGGTTGAAAATTGCTATTATAAATGCGTAAGTCTGGGGAGCCCTGCTCTATGTACTTCGGAAAACTGTATAAATATACAGAGATTTTATAAAATGGAATCTCATTCCTTATGCTTTTCTGGGTAATTATTAATTTACTTTTACTTGAATTTATTGTAAAAGAAGAGAACTTGAAAGAAGTGAACTTGACATTGCTGAACGTCAAGTTAATGCTTCTTGATTGCAAAAGATAGGAGATAAGAAAAGAACAACATAAATTGGACAAGTTTTTTTTAAACTACATATTTCAATTTTGAGAGTATTATTTATTTATTGACACTCTGGCAAAAACATGAGTGAAGTAACACTCTTAAACTTTCTTCCATCTCCTGGTTTTGTTTTATTGTGTTCTGTGCTGTGTTGTCAAGGTTTCTAGTATTTATATTCTGTCCTACTTTGTTTTGTTTTATATTTAAATGGTTTTAGTCCTCATTACCAGCATGTGCCTTCTCTATTCCTTAGTTGATCCTTGTCTTGATTGCTGAATTTAGTGGTCAGGTGATTTTTTTCAAGCAATATATGCTTTATTCCCTGAGTTCTTACGTACTTCATTGCTTGAGATTATTTGTTTTGTTTTTATACCTGAAGGATTAGTTAGTTGGGTTCAAAATTCCAAGATCACAATTTCTTTGCCTCAGAACTTAGCAGATGTAGTTCTGTGATCTCTTAGTATTTTGTCATTGGCTGATTTCCTTGTTCAATATTTTCTCTTTTTATTTCATGAGGATTTGTGAATGCTGTGTTTTTTGTCTCAATGGTTGCTATTTCCTTTAATATTTGAGGATGTCTGCCTATTGTTTTGTTTTTTGAGAGACTATTTGGATGTAGGTAACATGTTTAGGGAACATTTTCATTGGAACTTGTGGCCATTATTTTATTATTTTGGGTCAATGAATGTTGCTCTAGAAAAGTCTGATATTTTTCTTCCCACCTCCCTGAAAGTGACTTGCTTTTTCATCCAAAATGCCTGAAATTTTTATTTTTATTTTTGAAGTTTAGTAATATAACCATGATATATCTTGATGTCATTCATAATAATTTTTCCTGGATCATAGTATACCCTTTAATCTGTAGGCTTAGTTCTTCATTTAAAGACATTTTTCTGTTTATTATCATGAATAGTTTTTCTGTCATATTATTGGATCCTCTCTATTTTATGACACCAATTTTTCCTATATTGAATTTTTTTTGTTCTCCATATCTGTTATCTTCTAATTGTTTGCTTTGTCTTTTGCCTTTGCATTTATTGGAATTATTTCAAACTTTCATTTTGGTCAGCAGTTCTGTTTCCACCAACATCAATTCTCTTCCTTGATGTTTTAAATGAATTAATTGGTTAAGTCATAGTACGTATGCTCTAAGTTTATTTTGCTTTAGCACTACATATTACATTTTCACATTATTCTGCTTCAATTTTTTTTTGTTTCTTCTAAACTGTGATACATGTGTATAGTTTTTTCAGCATGTTAGTGCTTGATGTAGAAGACTTAGAACTACAATTAGATGTGGTATTGCTGAATTTTTTTTAATTGTCTATCCATTTTACCTACACTTGTTTTTCTCCCGAGCTCCAGTATGACAGCTGGATATTGCTGGGAGTAGAGAGAGGGGAAGCAAAGGGAAAAGAGGTGATTGAGAGTGCCTGATGGGCAATGTGACTTCAAGGCTCTGCTCTCTTAAAATAACAAGTGCAAATACCAAGTGCCCCCTGCTCCTGAGTTTGTTCTAACTGCTTGTGAATATATATCCCATATCTTGTGCAGGGACATCCTTGAGCTTCACACACACCTTTTGCTTTTTTTTCCTGTGAGCCCAAGAAAGTGACCCCTTTCCCCACAAATGTGGTGACAATAGGAAACTTTTACACTTGAAATTTTTTGTTGACTTTTTTCTGTATTGCTTTTTCTTCCCTCGGTTCTACTTCTTGTCATTTTGAAAGCTATTTCTGATAAGTGTTAAGACTTTATAAACTATTACTGTATATTTCCCTATAACCTCTTACTAGCTATGAGATAGAATTAAGAACTATCATAAGTCAGCCTTGGCCAGCATAGCTCAGTTGGTTGGGGTGTCTTGTACACTGAAAGGTCATGGATTTGATTCCCAGTCAGGGCACATACCTGGACTGAGAGTTTGATCCGCAGTCGGGGCGGGGGGCTACCTAGGAGAGGCAACCAGTTGATGTTCATGGCAGGAGATTGTGTATTTGGTTGCTGCTAATAAAGTTGGCTTTTTTAATTGTATTTTATTTTTTGTTTTATTAGGTGTGGAAAGAGAGAGTCTATAATCTAACTGGATTCATTAGCCTTTGCACAAATGACATTATGCATTGAATAATTCTTTTTTGTAGGAGGCTGTCTTGTGCATTATAGGATATTTAGTAGCATCTCTTGCTTCTACCCACTACATGCCAGTAGCAAGCAGTCCCCTAGTTGAGATAATTAAAAATATCTCCAGACATTGCCAAATATTCACTGGAGGAGATAGATCACTCTGGGTTGGGAACCACTGATTAATTAACTTCATTTTCTCATCTCTGCTGCTGCTTCTAAATATCTGCATCTCAATTCGAAGTAGTTCTACCTTGTCTAGCCTTGTAAGTATTATACCAAAGGTACAGGTCAGATTTAGATGAAAAGCCCTAATATACTCTACCTGGCAGATGTTACCTGTAGAGGACTTATAAGCTATCTGAATAGAAATAAGTAAGTTTTTTGAAAAAATAAGATGACTTATGTACAATGTTAAGAATTTTATTGAGTGAAAAAAATAACTTTTTTATGATTTATTGTTTGGTGTAGTGATACAGTAGATTGGCTTTTTTCTCCCTCTTTAATTAATATCATGTTGTTAGCCAAGTAAGTGAAGAAAATTCATATTGGCAAGTCAGTTGTTTCCCTTTTAGGAGACTGACACTCTCCAGTTCCAAGCTAAACAATTGTCATGGTAAAGTAATTTCCGTGAAAGGGACAGACATTGATTCAGCCCCTGTTACTCACAAATCCTATTTCAGTCAAATTGGAAAACTATTAAGTTTTGGAGGAAAAATCAATAGGTATCAGGAAACCATTAGATCTTGCGGCCCTTGCTGTATCTTGCATGAGTAATCACTGTAAACAGCTGACAGGTATTTCAGTGCTGACACGGAGTGATGCTTGCAGGGCCGCTCTCATCAGGGTGGGTAGGCACTTTCAGACATTGGAATGTGTTCAGTTGTCCTTGTTCTTCCCCAACACTCATTCTCTCAGACAGCCTTGTCACTAACTGGACCTGTGATGCTTTGAAAGTCAAATACTTTCTTTGCTGTCAGTTTTCTTTTTCTGGTGTTGTAGCATACTAATCATGGTGTGTGGTTTGGTACTGGACCAGTTTCTGTCAAAAACAAGTTTTAATTTCTTACTTAGAAGTTATTTTTTCTCAGACCCAAATTTTATACTAGTATTAAGTAAATAGTGTAAGGATTTCTTGTTCTTTTTGTTCTATAAAATTTGCAAATATGTATTTATTTTTTTGGACAGGTGATTTTGGGATTATCTATGTTTTATTTTACTTCCCTTAAGAGAGATAATTTATTATTTTTAAACAATGTGATTATTATATTCAGGAGAGAGAAAATAAAAATAAGTCCTCTGTGCACACAGCCATTTATTTGATAATATCTGTAGGTAAATTATTGCGGCATTGGTAGAAGCTTGTTGTTGGGTTTGTTATTTGATAAAAGTTGGTCTATTGTTTTTTAAGACAAAGGGAGAGGGGAAGAAATGGGTATATATAGTAAAAGGATCTATCACTGTAATTCCCATAAGAAGATTGGAAAACCATATTAAATTTGCATATATGTTTGCCTGCTAATTCTGTTGGGGCAAATTAAAACATGGATAGAATTGTATTTCTCAATTTGAAGAAATATTTTTATTTGACAAATATTATATATATATATTTTCAGGTGCTGTAGCTTCTATGTTTTGGATTGATGCTGAATTAGGGAGTGATATTTATCTTGATGGTAAGTTAAAAAAGAATCTTTTTCTTATTGTTATGGTTAAGATGATTTTTGTTCATCCATGTTATAATTTTAATTCCTATATTGTTATTCTTTTTAAACTTATTTAGTTTGATGATAAAGTAAGCCTTTGTTCATACAGATTCTAAAGCATCTAGGTAGAAGTAGATGTCAAATCCTGATCTCAGCTCCCAATTTAGTGTTTCCCCTAAGGTTTTCCTTTTAAAATACCAGGTGGGTTTCCTATACCCTCTGTCGTTTAGTTAATGTTCTGTCGTGTGTCATATGCCCACTCTCTGTTGTGTCCTACCCAGCCCCTTTCCCACAGCTCTTCAGTTTTTAAACCAAGTCTTTCATAGCCTAAGGGTGGAATAATTTTAAGAATCATTGCAGCTGGGCCTCATTACTTGACTGTAATATATGTGTCATGTAGATGGTTGAATTCTTTAGGCATCATCAAATTCATTCTGCTGTTATCCTTTGAAAAAATATTTTACCATAAGTTCATAGATTGTCAACTAATTGACCATTTAGTGATTTAGGTACATATTATATATAACGTTTGTGTGAGTTAGATTTGCTGAGAGATTGTAGGAACAAGATATTTTAAAATATCTCAGGTTTGTTAAATAGTAATGTCAAATGTTAAGAAAAATCTTGATTTTGATTTTGTGAAAATAGATTAGAAATAACCTGTCTTGTGTAATGTATCTCATTTTGTTTTATACTATAAAATTTAAATTTGCCTCATAATATTTTGGATTATAAGCTAAGAAGCTTATTCGTTTAATTTTAAAAATTGATTTATTTGATAGCCTCTGTAGTCCCTTAAAATGGTGTTAGAAACTTAGTACATATTTGAAAATGCATCTGCTTATTAATGAAATTAAATTAAATTGCAGCCTTCTCAAAAGAAAATGTTATTAAGTAACATTTGTGAACTGGAATAGATTCTCAAGTATAAAGTTGGTTAAAAGATTTATTTCTTTGTAGGTATCATAACTATCGTAGATTCAAAATATGGATTAAAAGTAAGTTGAAAATTGGTATGAGTTGCTAATTATTTAAAAGCTGGGTATATAGAGCTTGATTATATTATTTTTTCTACATTTGTGTCTGTTTAAAAATTTCCTTAACAAAAACTTTTTTTAAAATAGTATCCTGAACAACAGATGAGATTTGTGTGTTTTTAAATTATTATTTTGTGTTTTTGATTCAATGTTTTGTATTACTCTGGCTTGAGGTGATAAAAGTTGGAAGTATAATATTTGTAATAAAGATAGTATAGGATAAACTTTGGGTGTGTGTAACTCCTCAGTAGGGTTCAACGTCAATGTTAATAAGTTTCTCTGATTGATATAGGAAACTGAACTTGATAAAGCATATGAGATCTCAATTTTCTCTTAAACTGCTATCAGAAACAAGCTGGAGATAATTGAGCTTTAAAAAATGCTGCTTTACCTTATTTTGAAGAAATCAGGACTTATACATAGGTTCAATGAGGAGCAACTTTTCATTAAAAGGCATCCTGCTCTGAATGTTTTTGGAACTAACAAGGTCCTCAGATACATTTAAATGGGCTTCATTTTATAAAATGCACTTAGTAAGATTTTTAAAAGCATGTTATTACATAAAATAAAATAGTGTTTCTCAACTTTCTAAGTGAAATAGTACTAAAGGCAGAAGAGAATGAAATTATCCTTCACCTTGCAGTTCCATTCAGGGGATATGGATAGTGCCCAAAGTAATCATTTTTAGAAGTTTAAATTTAATGTTTAAAAGTTTATGTCTGTGCCCTGCCTGGGTAGCTCAGTTTGGGAAGATAAAAAACCTGAGAAGGTTGGGAGATAATTCTTTTTCAGATTTTTAGGTTCAAATTTATTAATAATAGTCTTAAGAATCAAAGAAAAATCCAAAATATTACAAATTTTTCTCAAGAGAAAACCCTGATTGTTCTGATATAACCTTTCTAGCAAAATATTGATGAAGGAAGCAAAAACAAAAACAAAAAAGTCCATCACGATGATTACTGGCATGTTTGAATTCATCTCCTATATAAATTTATTACCAAATTTGGGGTACCTATGGGATAGATAGCAGTTAGGATATTTTATTTGTTTTTTGTTTTTTGATAGACTTAAAGTACCATACCCAAAGTCAAACTCTTTGTGTATTTATGATTATAGGAATAATTTTACATGTATATTTGGGTATGGAGAGCGGTTAAGTAGAATCTATTATCAGTGTGATAGAGGCCAAAAAATCAAAGCAGCATTCTGAATAATGCAAACACAGTAAATGTTTAACCCCCTGCCACCTTGATAAAACCTCTTAAATTATTAAATCAATATACCTACATAAAACTGACATACTGTCAGGGTAATGGAAACTTTAGATTTTCTAAGTCAGATGGCAGATAAATAACTTTTCCTTTATATAAAGAATTTGCCAACTTGTCCAATTCCTCGGGTTGCAAAGCCTGACCTCAGTAGCTGCTTGTGATTCAGAGAATTCTGAGGCAGAACAAGTAATGACACTTGGATAATGGGCAGCAATTTAAGGGTGTCATGCTTCACAGAGCCAGCCCATCATAAGTAAAGCTGAGAAATGGTACCCTGTGGCCGGCCAGCCAAATTGAAACTGAAGTGGTAATTGATATCATGGGCTATCACTCTAATGGGATTGTCACCCATTGATCTGAAATATTAATTTTTTAATCATGGGCAAAGAATTGGACAACTTCCAATGACAGCTCTCTATTCTCAGGACTTGACACCCAGGCTACTGACATTGTTCTTTTCAGGTCTACAAATGTGACAGCATTTAATGCAATAGATTCAGTGAATGAAGTTACAGAGAAAAGGTCAAGTGAGAGGTTTCTCTTTGGTTCTTTTGTCATATTGCACAAGCTGTTGAAACAATTCAGTCAGAAACAGTTTGGCTTGGGAAATAGCAGAAAAATAAGTAAACTAACATTATGCAATAATCCTTTTGTTTAAGATAAAACAGTATTAGATTTATAACTGATCATTTGGAAAGAAACACCTGCTCATTCTTTTTTTTTTTAAATGTCATCTGACATCGTTGACACTAGATTTATTTCCCCTTTGGTCAACAACAGTGTTTTTTCTTCATTTTCTTAAAAAAAAATGTAGCTTGTTTCTATTTATGCAGAAAAGGACACCCTTTAGCTTTTACTGAAGTTGTGTCTACAGTGGTGTTATTTAGAAGGGTTCCTTTCTTATGGTGTGTTAAGTTATAGGGTTGAACCTTAATCTTTTGGGTATATTGGATTAATTAGTGCCAAAATTGTTTTTGTCCTTTTGCTATATATATAAACAAAAGCCACAGTCTCTAAGCAGAGATGAGGACTCCTTTGGGGGACTCTGTGTGTGTGTATATATAGATGTAAAATGATTTTGCAAAAATGTTTTCTTTCTTGCCTGTACAGGTGGAATAGAATGTCAAAATTTCCATTTTTTACCTTATAAATGGAAGTCATTTGACTTAATGGTATAAAATATGTTTTTAGAGAATATCTTTTTGAATAGCAGATGTTGGTTTAGGTCTTTTTTGTGGAGTTTGTCTGGGGGAGGTAGGAAGTTGCATAAGGGAAATGGGCTGATATCCACAGAAAATAAATGTTAGTATACATTTATTATTCCTTTATGTTTATGTAGCTTTCTTTCTTTTCTTTTCTTTTCTTTTTTTTTTTTTTTGCAAGGCACAGGGGAAAAAACAGTATTTAGGGTCAAAGATAATGGCATTTCCTTCATATTAGCTGTCAGTATTTTGTTAATATTTTCCCTTTTATTATTGTTGTTCAAGTACAGTTGTCTCCATTTTCCTGCCACCACTTTCACCTGCCCCACCACCCCCACCTCCTACCTTCAGTCCTACCCCCGCACTTTGGACTTCATCCATGGGTCATTTATACATGTTATTGACTTGACTCTTCCCCTTTTCCCTGTTATCCTCCTCCCCTCTGGTTACTGTCACTTTGTTCTTTATTTCCATGCCTCTGGCTATACTTTGCTTGCTTGTTTATTTTGTTGATTAGGTTCCACTTATAGGTGAGATCATAGGGTATTTGTCTTTTACCACCTGGCTTATCTCGCTTAGCATAATGCTGTCCAGTTCCATCCACGCTGTCACGAAGGGTGGGAGCTCCTTCTTTCTTTCTGCTGCATAATATTCCATTGTGTAAATGTACCAGAGTTTTTTGATCCACTCATTTACTGATGGGCACCTAGGTTGCTTTCAGCATTTTGCTATTGTAAATTGTGCTGCTGTGAACATTGGGGTGCATAGTTTCTTTTGAATTGGTGTTTCAGGGTTCTTAGGGTATGTTCCCAGCAGTGGAATTGCCAGGTTTCAAAAGGCAGTTCCATCTATAGTTTTTTGAGGAAATTCTATACTGTTTTTCCACAGAGACTGCACCAGTCTGCATTCCCACCAGCAGTGTACTAGGGTTCCCTTTTTTCTACCACCTTGCCAGGACTTATTTGTTGATTTATTTATGATGAACATTCTGATCAGTGTGAAGTGGTATCTCATTGTGGTTTTAACTTGCATCTCTCTGATGGTTAGTGATGCTGAGTATCCTTTCATATGTCTCTGGGCCCTCTGTATGTCCTCCTTGGAGAAGTGTCTGTCCAGATCTTCTGCCCATTTTTTAATTGGATTGTTTAATTGGATTGGAGTCATGTGAGTTAATATATTTTGGAGATCAAACCCTTGTCTGAGGTATCATTGGCAAATATATTTTCCCATATGGTTGGTTCTCTTCATTTTGCTTGTGCTTTCTTTAGCCATGCAGAAGCTTTTTATTTTGATGAAGTCCCATTTGTTTACTCTTTCCTTTATGTCCCTTGCTCTAGGGCACATGTAAGTGAAAATATTGCTGCGTGAAATATCTGAGATTTTCCTGCTTATGTTCTCCTCTAGGACTTTTATGGGGTCAAAAATTATATTTAAATCTTTTAACCATCAGGAGTTTATTTTATTTTATTTTATTTTATTTTTAAAAATATTGATTTATTTTTAGAAAGAGGGAGAGACACAGCAATGTGTGGTTGCTTCTCAAGTGTCCCATACTAGAGACCTGGCCTGCAACCAAGGCATGTTCCCTGACTGGGAATTGAACCAACTACCTTTTGGTTTGCCGGCCATCACTCAATCCACTTTCTCTTTTTTAGGTAGGTCTGTATCCCTATGAACTACCCTCTCAGGACTGCCTTCTCTGTGTCCCATAGGTTTTGAACTGTTTTGTGTGTTCATTTTCAATTGTCTAGAAACTTTTGATTTCTTTTTTGATCTCATCATTAACCCATTCGCTGTTGAATAGTATGCTATTCAGTCTCCATGTGTTGAATATTTTTGAGTTTTTTCCTTGTAGTCCAAGGAAATGCTTGATGTGATTTTATTTCTCTTGAATTTTTGAGGCTTGTTTTGTGTTATATCATGTGGTCTCTCTTGAAAATGTTCCATGTGCATTTGAAAAGAATGTGTATTTTGCTTCTTTGAGATGAAAGGTTCTATAAATATCAGTTAAGTTGATCTAATGTGTTGTTAAGTTCTGCAATATTCTGGTTGATATTTTGTTTGGAGGATCGATCCATTGTTGACATTGGTGTGTTGAAATCCCCTACTATAATTGTGTTGCTGTCTATATCTTTCTTGAAGCCCTCCAAGACTTTTTTATATATGTGGGTGCTCCTATGTTGGGTTCATATATGTTTACAATGTTTATATCTTCTTGATAGATTCTTCCCTTGAGTATTATGAATGTCCTTCTGTGTCTCTTTTAACAGCCTTTATTTTGAAGTCTATTTTGTCTAAATATTGCTACCCCATCTTTTTTTCCCTGTCCATTTGCTTGGAATATTTTTTTCCAACCCTCCACTTTCAGTCTGTGTAGGTCTTTTGTTCTGAGGTGGGTCTCTTGTAGGCAGCATATGTGCAGGTCATGTTTTCTTTCTTTTTTTTTGAAATTTTATTTATTTTTAGTTTTATAGAGAGGGGAAGGGAA